ATTCCTTTCTAGCTTGTAAGATCTGTGCTGAGAAGTCTGTGGATAATCTAATGAGTTTTCCTTTATAAGTTACCATTTTCTTCTCCCTGGCTGCCCTGAGAAATCTGTCTTTGTCATTGATTTTTGATCATTTTAATACAATATGTTTTGGTAAAGGCCTTTTTGCATTAGGATTATTGGGTGTTCTGTTGACTTCTTGAATTCCAAACTCCATTTCATTCCTTAGATTTGGGAAATTCTCGTCAACTGTCTGTCTGAAAATACTTTCCAATCCCTGCTCCTTTTTCTCCCCTTCGAGAATGCCCATTATTCTTATGTTTCCCCTCCCAATGGCATCAGCTAATTCTTGTATTTCTCTTTTATTATTTTTCATTCTTTGGTTTCTCTCTTCTTCCTTCCGATTTATTTCTAGATTTCTGTCTTCGATATCACTAATCCTTTCCTCCATTTGGTTGACTCTATTTCCAAAGCTTGCTATTTCATTTTTCAACTATTTCAGTGTGTTCTTCGTCTCTAGAATGTCTATTTGGTTCTTTTTGAGAGTTCTAATCTCCTTGCTAAGAACTTCATTCTGCTCATCTAGTTGTTTTTTCAGTTCCTGTTGATATGATTTGTCTTGGATCTCATTGAGTTTTTTCAGAAGTACCACCTGAATTCTCTGTCATTTAAGTCACATATTCTTATGTCTGTAAGCTTATTTTCTGGAGATTTTTCTCTTTCTTTCTGAGATACCTTGTCACCTTGGTTGTTTATGGTGTTTAATGGCCTATTTTTCCACCTGTGCATTAATGAAAGTGTATTCTAACTTTTTTCCAGAAAGATTTAATATATAATGGTCCCTAGCTTATTGTAAAGAAGGTGTTTTTCTTTTGGTTTCCAGTAGGTGGTATCTAAGCCTCTTGGATCTCTGCTTTATATAAAGTCTTAATAATGTCTTTTTTTTTCCTTCTGGATGTTTGATTGTGCTCGCTACCCTCAGTCTCAGTCCTCATCAGTGTTAGCAACAGTTTTGGTAGTGCTTACTCAGATTCCCCTGGGGCTCTGCAGTGTTCTGTCTTGGAGGATATGAGGGGAGAGGCCTTCTGGGTTGGGAGATGGGGACTGTGGCTCAGCCTCAGTTTTGCAACCATGGCTGGTAAAAATCAACTGTTGTTTCTCTGCCATCCTCACTTTTCTGCCATCCCCATTTCTCTGCCTTCTGCCCTGATGACTGGGCCCTGCCGCCAGCTGCCTGGAGCTCACAGCACTCCCAGGCAGGACTTTCAGGGAAGTCATTGCACCTTCTCCTCTCCCTCTCCTCGTACAAGGAGCTCCAGTGGCTGCAAGAGGCAGCTTCTTTGTTTCTCCCAGTCCAACGCCTAACACTGGGGTTCTGACCTATGGTAGCTGTTATGTGCAGATCCTATGCTTAAATGTGCTGGTGTGCAGTTTGGTTGTTTTTTTTGTTGAGTTTTAGATATTCAACTTATTGTTGTTTCAAGGAGAGAGATCCAGGAACGTCTCTCACTCCACCATGTTTCTGACATCACTCCTAATTAATTTTTTTAATTAAAAAAAAATGTTTGCAGCTGGGAATAGAATGAGTAACTGAAAAAAATCATGGCCTCAATTTCTTCATTTGAGAATGAGATGGCTGCCTTAGATCAGTGATTTTTCAAAAGGATACTCTCTTACCTAACAAACTGTACTTGGACCTTTAAGAAACAAAACTGAAAGAAGTAGAGTGGTTCTGACTGAGATGAAGGGCTCTGGGCCCAGTATGGTGATGGGTACACTTTTCCTTCCTTGCCCCAGTCCCTTGGAAGCATCACTCTGATTCCAGTGAAGAAAATTTGGAAACCACTGGATCAGGTAAGTCTTAAAGTCTCTTCTGGTCCTTAACTACTATGAGAAAGATAAGTTGCTGGTGCTGTCAAAAAAAAAATCATGTCCTAAATTCCAAAGTTTAAATAGGAATCACTTCCAGATCTCCCATACCACTTGCTTCCATTATTAGCTTGGTGTAGAGCTGTTCTCTATATTTCAAAACACACATTTTCTCTATTATAAATGTTTTAGGCTCAATAATTTTGAGAAATAATTTCTATTAAGCAAATTTCTGAGACACCCTGGCTTCCATTCTTGTTTCTTATTTTTCTTGGTAACGAGAGGGATGTGGATTAAGAGTAAAAAAAGAAGGAACTCAGCCAGTTCAAACTATGAGAGAAACAGATTTTGGTGGGAGAAATCATAGCTATTAGAGCCAAAAGGATGAAGAAATGAAAAACTCCAGTATTCTGACTGCAGAACGATACAGTATCCATTCAAACATCCAACATCTGTTGAGCACTGCTAGTTCTCTGGGGGCCCTTGAAAGCACTGGGTTACAATAACAAAGATGCAGTTTTATTTCTCAGAAGGCACACAGTGCAGTACAGATATGGGCTAGTAACTGGATCCTTTACAGCAGTGTGACAGTGTGATAAGTAGGTAAGGGGTCTATGCATGATCTAATGGGCTTGAGTAGAGGGCTGAATGTAAGTTCTGTGAGGACAGGAATATTGTCTTTTATCTTCTGCTCTAATTCCCAGACCCTAGAACAGTGGCTGGCAGCATTTTGAACAAATAAATGAATAAAGCATGGATCCTGCTGGTGAAAAGAGTTGGGACATCCTACTTGACTGTTGTTTAAATGAATCAGCTGAGGCCCTATAAAAAAAAGTATGCAACTTGTCCACTTTGCTCTTGGCCTTGAGAATTTTGCATTTGAGTGGTAGAGAAAGAGCATGAAGATGGTCAGGAAGTAAAAAGCATTTATAAAGCAATATAATGCAAATATAAGTCAAGAGGTAGAATCTTACAGATAAACCAGAATTCAAAGAAGAGTTCTATTGCTGTGGGCCCTGACTAGGCTGACTTTGGGGTGATTTTGGGGCCCTCACATTGTAGATCAACCTCCCTTCATGTGAAGGATTGTGGGATTGTGACAGAGGCCCCAAAACATTGTGTGGTCCTGCTCCTAGGCTGGGCACAGCTGGACCCACTGGAGCTAGAAAAATGCAAGGAGTGGGGGGAGGCGGTGAGAATGAGGGAAGAACACACTTGTGACACAGTTTAAACACTCGTTTTTCAGGGAAACTTCCTTGACACTCCCTCTGGGCCCTTCCTCTAATCCTGTTCCACTCACTCTTGGCACTTACTGAAATCGTAATGACACAATTATTGGTGTAATCTGTATTTCTCATGCCCCAATCCATGGGGGCAGGGACTGTGTCTGTCTTGGTCACTTTCGAGTCCCCAGGAGCTAGCCTGGGAGGGGGCGCATGGGTGAATGAACACATTAACTCCTGAATCAGTTTGTTTCTGGAGATGATGGGCTCTGAATCAGGGTTTGAAAAAGTAGAGGGCCAGGTAGGAGATAGGCAGAGAAGAAAGGGGAGGCAGGAGTCAAGCATAAGTGCTTTTAGGAAGGTAACCAGCTCACCTCCACGCTGCTCAGCCACTGCCGGACCGACAGAAAGGATTGTTTGGCTGTAAGGTCATACATGACGATGACACCGTCGGCCTTTCTGAAGAACTGCTGGGTGATGCAACGATACCTGCCACCAAAGGGCCACAGGTCAGCGGATGCACAGCCTCCTCTCTGCAGCAGACCTTTGTCCCCATTAGGGGGAGTGGAGGAGGCAGGGTTATGTCAGGGACAGCTCCTCACCTCTCCTGCCCAGCTGTGTCCCACAGCTGCAGGGCCACCTGAGAGTCATCCACACGCACCGTCTTCACACGGTAATCAATACCTGTGAGGTGGAACAGGCCCATTACTTCCAAATCAGAACAAGACGGCCCCAACACGTCTGGAATCACATCAGGCCGAGGGTGACAGTCCTCCCCATGTAGCTCCTGGGAGGCGATGTGGGGAAACAAACAGAGCACTGGACAGGGAGGCATGGGACCTGAGTTCTGATTCTATCCTTGCCATGTATTAGCTGTGGGACCTTGATCAAATCACCTAACCTCTGTGAACTGCAGGCTCCTACGCAAATGTAACCCATACCCTTTTCGGGGATACTACCATAAGGTTCAAATGAGATTACATATGTAAAAGTAATATAGCACTGTAAAGGCAATTGCTACTTTCACAAATTTACTCTTTGATTGCAAAGAGGAGGAGGAAAGACTGTCCTTAAATTTCTCTTCCCTCCCTTTTTCTCTTGTTTCTCTCTTTCTTTTCTTTCTTTCTTTTCTCTCTCTCTCTCCCTCCCTCCTTCCCTCCCTCCCTTCTCTTTTTTTCTTTCTCCTTCCTTCCTTCTTTCCTTCCTTCCTCTGTCCCTCCCTCCCTCCCTCCCTCTCTCTCTCCCTCCCTCCCTCCTTCCCTCCCTCTCTTTCTCTCTTTCCTTCTTTTCCCCCACCCCTCTCTTCGTCAAACCCCTTTAAAAGTTCTCCTAACAAAGTTCAAATATCTCTGGGGATAGATCATACTTTCACACTTCTATTTGACACTGCAAGTGTATGTGGAGGAACGGGAGGAGAAACAGGATGACAGGAAGGGGTGGCAGGTGGAGGGAGGGCTAGAAGAGTAGAAACAGAATGGGGGAAGGAATCAAAAGCAACATTCATCCTTGAGATGAGTTTAGAGCTCCTGATTCCAGCCACCGGGCCATTCGCAATTGTCTCTCTGAGGCTGTGACCCTACCTGGAGTCATGGACTACAGATAGAGGGAACAAGTTCAGCACCATGCATTCTGTCCTTACAGCAGCCCTCAGAGAGAAGGACCTTAACAAAGGTTCTTTGATGACAGACAATCCTCTTTAATGAGATTCAAAAGGTGTTTACCCCTTAAGTTATACAATCTCAGAACCAGAGGGCATCTACTAGCACTTCCCAAAAAGCCCGGCTTCTGAGGCCCTCACCCTGGAGGGCTTAGGCAGAGACAGCAACAGCAACTTGACAGAAAGAGACAGAAGAGACAAAACAGACAAAGAAGAGGCAGTAAATGGAAAAGGTCGTCCCTGGGCAAAGGTGAGTACATTAGGGGCCCAGGTGTGGGAGAGAGGCTGGAGGGTCATCTCTCCTAGAACATCAGGATCAGCAGGGAGTCCAGAAGCTCTGTATGTCACAGATGAGGGCCAGAGAAAGCAGTGCATTTGTCTGGGTGGAGAAAAAAGTGATTTGAGCCATTCATAGAATACTTGACATTTCTAATTTTCATATGTCATCTCCCCATCCTCATAGCACTCCCCTGTGACATCCATGTGTTATCTACACACACACACACACATACACACATAAACACACACACATGAATACATGCACACATGCACATACATGCACACACTTGTGCAAATACATGCACATGCATACCATCCCCACCCACCGCATCAATGAGAGATGAAGAAACAGGAGTCCAGAAATGGCATGCTTTGCCCAAGCTGGTCAGCAGCTGCAGTGTGTCTTGAGGCTCATTCTTCTTTTCACACCAGTACCCTGGGCACAGAGACACCTGGCAGTTTCATTTCACCAGGAAGTCTACAGCTAAGTGCTCCCATCCAAATGGATTATAACTGGTTGACAGATGAATCCAAGGTGGGTTTTCTTCTCAGCTAAAAGGGTAAGTAAGGGTTTCCCTAGTCTGTGCTCTGGGAGACTGAAGGGGCTGCCTACTTTCTGATAACAACTCAGGAGAAAGCCAACCACTGACAATACATCTTTAGGGCCTGATCTAAAACCAGGCCAAGCTGCAAAGCCCTGAGGACAGAGATCTCTTCTTGATGGAAAGGCTTGCAGGGAGAGGGGCAGCCAGGTCTCAGCTGCCTTCTGGTCTTGCTCTACCTCATTGCTTTGCTTGAGGACAGGGAGCTTGTCTTGCAGGGAGCCAGGAACACACAACACGGTCGCTTGGCTCCTGAGATGTTAGAACTAGTGGTGGTCTTAGAAGTCAGTGTAGTTCAGGTTCCACATTATTGTGTTGCTTTTCTGTTGGATTTGACTTCTTGTGTCTCCTACTCCTCCACCGCCCCCCCCACCCCCATGGGCTTATCTGCTTCCTGGGCCTGAGGCTGCAGAGAGAAGTACATGTTTGGGGACAGTGACTCTCACCAGACTTACCACAGGGCAGAACCTGTTTTTCCAGTACTCCAGGATCCACCTGGCTCCCTGGACAAGTTAGGCTCAAGCTGTCATTTAGAGAAGGAGGAATGTGGGAGTGAGAGTGCCTGCTAGTTGTCATGGAGAAAACTCTAGGGATTTCTCTGTAGAGATGGGGGTAGAAACTGAATTGGCGACCAAGAAAGGGCAGAGTGAATTCTTTTCAGAAAAGCTTTTGGAAGAAACACTTTGGGTTGTGACCCGTGATTTAGAGCAGGGGGCTATGAACCAGCATGGTGTAGTGGAGAGAGCACTGGACTCGGAGTCCTGGGTTCCAGGGAGCTTTAGCCTCTAATAATTAGTCATGTCGAACATGAGCTCCAATAGTCTACAAAAATCATCATTTGACATCTCCAGGACACCCACAGGGCTCCTGCTTCTGAAGGAATCATCTGGTCTTAAGGTGGTGTACACAGGATGCTCAAGTCACTGTTGTATTATAGAACTTACATTATGCACAAGCCAGGAGTCAAGTACAAATCATGTTCTCACAAGGAAGTGGGAGACCAGGAAGTCCCCTTTGATGATAGAGGTGAGCTTTACAGGATTGCCAAGTCCCTGTTAGTACTGTGTGGATGGTGCAGGGGCTGCTTCCCTGGCAGATGGTTGTCTAGAACCCCAATCTAGGGTTGGACCACTTTGGCTCCAAAAAGCCAGGACTCTGTGGCTTTACTTGCTTTCCAGGGTTGTGTTCAGATAGATTGAAATGATGGATATAAAAGCTCAGGATAAATATTCAGATCACATCAGGTGGCTGGTGTGACTCTGCTTACTGACATGTGTACCGGGCATGTTGCGTGGCAGGAACAGTAACTTAAGCTGCTGCTCCTGCATGTATGATGAAGGTCATTACTGATTTGGAAACTTTGATATTTTTCCCCTTCCTAACCTGTAGGTATTTCCATAAATGGCCTCCTGGGAAGTGCAAATTAGTTTGATTTTCTCTTTTCAGAGCCTTCCATCTCAGGGGCACAAGCTGGAAATGTAAAGGGACCCTGAAAACTGATTCCCTGATTCCCCAATTTTATCAGCAAGAGCTGCACCTATGGGCACACTTCTTGGAGGGGTATCTTCAAGGGCCTGAGGTTTCAACATCTGTCTCCCTGCCTCCCAAAGGTCAGTGCTTGAGCCATGACTTGTGGGGGCCCACCCTACTGAATGCTCTCCTGGGAAGCAAGCCCGTCTCCCACAGCCATTGCTTCCTGTGTTACCACGCTCGGCGCACATGGCTCATTCCCAGCCATTCCAGTGCAGGCCCGACAAGGCCAGACTCTTCTGGGCTTGGTTCACAGGCTCTGCCTTTTTTTCCTTCAGGGTCCTGATTCTTCATCTTGGGATGCTCTCAGTCGTTGGGTAGAATTGGGCAGAAGGAAAGGGACAGGAAGTTGTTCCAGACACTATAACAGCATAGAAAAAGGTCCTGCAGTAAGAACGACATCCTGAAGCACGTGGGAAGAGACCCATCTGTAGGAGGAAAGTTGGAAGGAAGGGCCAGTTCAGGATAAGAGGAAGAACATGGAGTCTCCCTGGGCAGGCATCTGGGGCAGGGAAGGTTTCTCTTGTGGGGCCTGGGGTCAGACAGCCAAAGGTCAAAGATGGTCTGGACAAAGACTAGGCTTGAAAGTAGTCTTCAGTAAGCCAATTCGTATCCTTCATTTTTCAGATGAGGAAAAATAACTGAAGCCCAAAGAGGGAACATGTCCCCCTGAGGTCACACAGCTGATTACAGGTAGAGCTGAGATGCAGATCCAGGACTTTCGATGCCTCACTAAACCTCAGCAGCCTCCTCTGCCTGCACCAACTTCTGTCAACTTCCATGGCCGAAGAGTGTCCTCACCACTAACTGGGTGCTGAGCACACGCATAACTCAATATAATTAGGGACACTGTGGAATGGAACAGAAGGAGTGTGTAGGCCTAGGGGGAGAGGCCAATATCAGCACCAACTAGCTGATGCGAATGTGGACAAGCCTCTTAACCTCTCTGGGCCTCTGTTTCTTGATCTGTCTAGGGGCTGATAACAATACTTGCCTTCCAGGGTTGTGTGCAGAGAGAGTGAAATGATGACTATAAAAGCTCAGGATAAATATTCAGATCATATCTGGATTTTCAAATATACTTATCAGTGTGGTTAAATGGCACGTAGTAGGGACTCATGGGATTTGTTTTTTGTTTGAGTGATTCAACTTGGTAGAAGCTAAAAGGTCAATATGCCTGTGGGTATTGCCACATATTCCAATGTGATGAGCAGTTTTGGGTGAAAGGAGCAAAGTCTTTTAGTTAAATAAAACATTATCCAAGAGTGGGAATATATTAAGCCATAATTATCCGCTGATAGCTGAGCCTAATGAGCTTCCACAGTGAACTTCGCCTGTTACCCAGCAGGCCCGGGACATAGTACAGGTAACATTTGGGTAAGGGAGTCATCCAGAGCACTGTCCTCTATCCCACCTGTCAACACACACACACACACACACACACACACACACACACACACACACACACACGAGAAGAGCAAGGAAGCAGCTGGCCCATGGGGAGAGGGAGACGTGGTAGTGGGTGGTGAGCCTCAGGAGAAGCATGGAGCATCAGGGGCCTGCTGAAAGTGGGGAAGGAATGATAAAAAAGAGACAGGCTCAGAGACGGGTTGGGGACCCAAAGCCCATCTTTGCCATCTTTAGTTCTACTCAGGCTGGACATAGGAAAATTTCAGTGGTCCCATCCCATGTGGGGCAAGCTTAGCAGCTAGCACTCTGTGGGAGGTGGACTTTACTTTGTCCTTCTCAGCCTCACTGTGGAGTAAGTGGATTATGGCTCCCAACCAGCTAGGCTCCAAGTCCCTCCCTTAGGCCCTTTCTCACAACCTCCCCTTCCCAGAGGGAGGCCCGGGACTCACCCACAGTGGCTGTCAAACCCGGGGAGAACTGGTCCTCACAGAATCTCCTCAGGAAAGATGTCTTCCCTACGGCAGAGTTGCCCACAAACACAATCTTGAAGAGCCGGTCCGGAGTGGAGGGAGATTCTTCCTCCTATGGATGGCAGACAGTCTGGCCAGCTGCTGAGTTGGTCACTAGCCCCTGCTCCTGCCACAATCTGCCCTTCATGCATCCCTATGGTGTCCAGGGGAAAGTGGAGACCTGGCCTCTACACCAGCACGGGGGAGGCCACTCAGCCTCAGATACAGGTAGCTTTGGGCTCAGGGCACAGAGGCTCCTCCCAGTATCAGCAAGAGGGAAGAGGGACATTCATTCAACTGACATTTGTTGTCTGCCTACACTGTTGCAGGCCCTGTGCTGGGCCTGAAGATGCAGGGATGAGGAGGAGGCCTGGTTTACGGTGGAGTGAAGGAGGCAGGCATATAAGCAAACAATCTCAGCACAATGTTCTAAGTACTCTGGGAGCAGGAAGGAGGAGCCAAGGACTCACAGAGGAGACACTGAGATGCGTCTTAAAGCAGAGGCAGAGAATCTCTATGCGGTAGAGGGGAGGATAAGGTAGGGTGTTTGCAGGGAGGATGAAGGTTAGAAAAAAAAGACATCTCTGTCCAGGGGCAGAGACAGCCCATTTTGGGGTGGGGCCTTTTTTTCTGCCGTATCATTGAAAGCCTGGACCGATGGTGGACACCCTGGCCTCCCTGACTTTTGCTCTCTGTCCCATCTCATCAGCTTCCATCTAGAATCCTCATGTGCCCTGGGGAGGAAGGAGGGACAGTCTCCACCTTTTGAGCTATGAAATCCTTAATGTCAGGCTACAGAGTAGAGCTTTCCAGGGTCAACCAGTCACTGCTGCTCCTTCTCCTCTGCCCAGCAGCGGGAGAGACCGGAGCGGCTGCCCATTAGTCTGAAATGCTAAAGCCCATCAGGGAATGGACTTGCTTAGACACTGGGCAAGTGAGGGAAGGAGCTGGTTTCCAGCACCGGGTCATTCCCTTCTACTGAAATGGAGAGCTGCTTGCTCCCTCTCCCGAACCCTGCCTTCCTGCTCCGCCCAGCACTGCCGGCCAAATGAGGAGGCTCTTTTGAATCTACTTAGAAGTAGATTTGGGGGAATTAGCTCCTGTCATTGAGCAAAAACTATAATAGAGTGGCAGCAGATCTTAGAAGTACTTAAGTTTCAGAGAAAAGCCATTAATAGCTTTTTGGAGAGAAATCAATTCCACGTAGTACTTAGGAAGGAACTCAAGGTCAATTCCAGGAATCTAAACTTAAAAAAAAAAAAAAAAATGCCATACTCAAAAACTATGTCCCTGCCCAATTTTCTTGAATTCTCTTGCCATACACAAGGGCATCAGCTCTCCGCCAGTCTCCACTCAGCCTCTGTACCTCCAATTGTCATTTGTTTGAGACGAAAGCTCAGAGCAATCTGTGTCCTGAGGCTCAGACCCAGGTGGGGAATTTAAAGTCCAGAATGGACAGAGACTGTCCTGGCTGCAGAGGCTGTACCTGACACTTACCCCTGCTCCCCATGTCCACGGGCCCCACCCCAGGCACAGCCCTATTTTTTCCCAGGCCAAATAAGATAAACACATCGATGGTTCAGCCCTGGGCGGGATCCACCTCACAGGTGTAACAAACACCTACTCATGTTCATGCACTTAACCTGTGTCCCCAGAGGGACACAGGTGAGACAGTGAGACAACCTACAGTGAGACAACCAGACTGGGGAAAGGGGGCTGGAGAAGGATCTGTTCTCATCCTCCTTCCCACCCCTTAAAAAATAAAACTTTAAAAAATAAAAGTTATACACGCAAAATTAGGAAATACAGGAAAGTAGAGAGGAAAATAACAGTTATTCATCATCTACACTACCACCTGCAGAGATCACTATTTTTCCAGGCTTTTCTTCTATATAGATGAACATATATTTTATTGAGAGAGACTGGAGATAGTACATATAATTTTATCCTTTCTCATATATTATTAAATTATAAACATTTCTCTGAGTCACTAAAGGTTTTTGAAAATGTGATTTTTAACAGCAGTATAATATTCTATTGAATTAATATGCTAAAGTTTATATCCCTATTAATGAACAGTTTTTTTCAACTTTTTGCTATTATGCACTTACATTCTTGCATTAAATCTTTGTCTGACTTTGGTTATTTCCTGAGGAAAGATTGCTAGAAGTAGAAGTGCTGGTACAAAGGCCGTGGTATTTTTAAGGTCTTGATTCCTATTATCAAATTGCTTTCTGGAAAGGTTGCACCAATTTCTGGCTCAGTAGCATTGCATGGAGGAGCAGCCTCCCAGCCACCTCCCAAAGAGCAGATGAGGCTCTTATGTGGCTTCTAACAGATCGTATTTCCTCACTGCTGCAGCTTTTGTCTCCAGCTAAATGGCAGCCCAACCTGGTGGAGCCGCACAGTGTGAGAGCGCGGCAAGAAGGTTAGCCCAGACCTGGCCCCTCTGGGCTTCTACTTCCCCATCGGCCAGAGGGAAGAAGAAATTTCTGACACCTCATCAAACAACCATGAGGATCAAATGCCAGAGCAGACTTGATGCTCAGCCGTTTTCCTTTACCCCTGACCTCATGACACTTCTTTCACTTTTGGGGGAAAGTGTGAGGGTATTGAAAAGCTCATTTGTGCCCACTGCCCACAAGTGTAGGTCTGTGCACTGATGGGTTGTGGAGGGGCATGTAGGAGGCAGGGGCCCCACCCACCAATGGGTGCCACCCAGTTCTCCATCCTCTCCTGGGCCCTTGGCCTCCACCACTCCACCCATCAGAGGAGTGAGACGTAGGCCATGAATCTTAATTTGGACCCAAGAATGATAACTAATTGATGGCAAGAAGTCCCGCGCAGTGGTCGGAGAAGGCTTCCTGGCACACACACTAACACAGCCATGGAAACGTTCAAGGCAGCAAGGCCTATTTCCAAAGGACCGTCTCAGTGTGCAGGGAGGAGCCTCTTCCATACTGTCGTGGACATTTCCAAAACTGTTTTAGAGGGTCAAGTGGAGGCTGGAGGGCTTGAGGAGCCTCACCCTAAGCCAGGGTCACGAACAATGTGTAGAACATCATCACCATGTGCCAGAGGAAGGTGGTGCCTATGGCCTCCTTCTCCCCGCAGAATTTAGCGGGAAGATCTGGTGGGGAATTCAGGAGGGATGTGGGAGTAGAGCACTGCACTGAAGAGAGGAGCAGGCAGGGCACTTGGGAATAAAAGAGTGATCAGCTGATCAAGAATGGAGAGAAAAATGATGATATGAAAACTTCCTGGCCCTGACGAGAGCAGTTACAAAATGTAAGAAAAGATGTAAGATATACCATTGTAAAACTTTGTGATATTTTATGCAGAGACAGGCAGAGGATCGCAGTTACAAAATGTAAGAAAAGATGTACGATTGTAAAACTTTGTGATATTTTATGCAGAAACAGGCAGAGGATCTATCTTAAGTAGGTACTCAAAAATGCTTTTGAATCTGAATTAGAAAAGAGAAGTTATAAGGAGAATTTACCAGGACTCCTGAGACACTTAGCTATGCAGGAGAAGGTGGTATTTGAAAGACACAAATATGCTGAATCACAAGACGAGCCGCATCTGACTTCCAGAGCTGCCTTTGGGACAAGGCACAGCAGTGACATCTACACACCAATGTGGGATGGGCCCTTACCTTAGACAGAGCTTCTTTCCCAACAGGCTGCCCTCGGGGAGATGTGGGCGTGAGTTCCAGCTGAGAAGGTTGGGCCTGCTGGATTTGTCCTTCCACTTGCTGGCTGGAGACCTCCTCCTCTTCTGGGCATTTGCTCAGTGGCTGCTCAAGGCTGCCATCCAGGAGCTGGGGCAGGGGATCTTCTTCAATGGAGATGATTCTGCGGAATGCCCGGGGGAGTGGACCCCCAGCCCTAGATCCTGACTCCTCTTCTGTAAGGGGATATCCACTCAGGCCCAAGGAGCTTCTACTCTTCGGCATGCCAAACACATCTTCTTCTTCCTCTGACTCCCTATTTTGGGATGAGGAAGAAAAAAGAGTGGGAAGGAAATTGTAAAATGTATTATTTCAATAAGGAAGCCAGACAGCTTTTCTGACAAACAGATGACTGATGAGCACCATGCCTTGGGGCAAAGAGCTCCAGAAAAACAGATCCAGCATCCATTCACTCAACGCACTTATGTAAGTGCCTGATGATGAAGATGATGATGAAGATTATGGTGAAGAAAATGATGGAAGTGATGATGATAGTAGCTTAATACCTGGTGGTAATCGTCATCATCACTAAGCCAAGCATTCCATAAAGACAAGGGCTATGTAGTAGAGGGGCTAAAGCGATAATGACACGACTAAAAACATTTTTACGAGTTGAGAGAAGTGCTATGATGGAGAAGTAAAAAGTGTGAAGAAGGTAGCATAACAGATCTGGAAATAAAGCACCCTGGATTAACAATCAGGTGGCCTTGGCTCTGGTCCTAAGACCAGCTCTAAGTAACTGTGTCCCTAGGTAAAACACTTGGAGTCTCAGTTTCCTCACCATGAAGTGGCCCACTGCCCTGCTTACTTCACAAATAAGATAATGCACACACAAAAAAAGACATGCTCACAAGCAGCCCTAAGCAATATGAAGGAGGAACCCCCCGCCCCCGAAAAGACATGCTCACAAGCAGCCCTAAGCAATATGAGGGAGGAACCCCCCATCACTAGCCAGATGTCCACTGGCTCAGAGGCAGCTGCCCACTAGAGAATGGGCTTTGGGTTAAAAGGAAGCCAGACAGGTCATCTCAACCTGCCTCTTTCTTTTCTCTTTCTCTCAGTGTCCCTGCAAGTCAGAGTCAGGAGGAAGTGGCCTCAGAGCCCTCAGAGCCCTAAGTGCATATTTACTTCCAGAAGCATCTGAGCATGAAGATCAAAGGGGAGCAGTTAGGAGGTATAGGGATGCTGGGCTGATGCGCAGGCTGTACTTTCAGAGGTTTGGAGAGCAAAGGCATCACAGATCCTTCCTGGCACAGGAGTTCCTCTCCAGTGCTTGTGGACAACTGAAGCTTGACAAGGAGGACCTTGAGCCCAAAACTGATACACACATCCTTATACACACACATGCACAAACGTATGCAAGGATTAGAGAAGAAAGTGAAATGGGAATGAAGGGATGAAGTGACGGGGCCAAAGGAGAAAAAAGGTGGGCAACGGACACAGAATATGCAGAGCAAACACTCTCCCTTCACCTTGCCCCCTAACTTATTTATTACTCCTATGGACCAATAATAGGAAGGAAAAAATGCATGTTCTAAAGTCTGAAAGATAAATTAAGATATACTGCTGGTTCACAAAAATAGTGACTTACTTTGGGTCCCTTGATATAAAATAAAGGATTCGCAGCAATTCAAGGACCTTTCCACTTTTTATGAAATCACAGTTTTCAGTAGAAGCTGACTGTCTTCTTTCCAATAAATTTCTTTTATATTTTAGCAAGCCTACTGTTTATCTGCTTTTGAACACAATTAGTATTCCCATTCACTTTCACTGTGCTTATACAAACGAGTGCACACGTGTGTGCACATGCGAGCATGTTTTTTCAAAGGGCCTTGTAACAAGAAAAGAAATGGCCACCGAAATGGTCTTAAATTGAAACATTTCTTGGGAAAACCTTTTTATATAAGAAATTCTCAAGCACTATTGACATTCTGTAACATCTTTAGCTTCGCATGAGTATGTTCATTTTTGGCTGTCCACCAAATGCTGTGTACTGGCGGTAGAGAGCAGCCACCTCGGGAAAAGTCTGTGTTGGAATTCAAGGTTTACAATTTGTTGCTTGTTTCCTCCACTCAACCATAAACTCCATTAAAGCAGAGATAGGGTCTGGTTTGCTCACCACTATATGTCCAGCACATAGCACAGTATCTTGAATATTGTAGGCACTCAATGATGGATATTAATGGCAGAATTCATGTGTAATTTACCTTTGGAGTCTTCACAGAACTCAAAAGAATATCTAGTATAGAGTAGGCATTGGTAAATACTTGTCAAATGAATCAATCAATGAACATATTCAGTTCTGAGGAACCAACAGGCCAACTATTATTGTAGAAATTTGGCTCTCAAATTGTATCTCACTGGGAATTCATGATGACCAAGTCCAAAGACTTGGCTCACAGCTGACCTACATCCAGCATCACCTCCCTTTGCAGATCTGTTTATTTCATGCTTGCCATCCTCAGTGTCTCCTAGATGAGCAAGTTCACATACTTTCTCCTCAGGTCTAAAACTAAGGGACCTGGCTGCCTCTACCTATCTATGGCCATCTATGTGGATGGAGCTGGTGCCAAAAAGAAGAGCAGGCAGGAGACTGGCTGGTCTTTTCGAATGAGCAATGAGCCCCTCCCTTGGAGACTCAACCATGTGCTGCCCAGTAGGAACAAAACATGTCATCTTTGAGTTAATTAAATATAAATCATTGAAAGGAATCTGTCAAGCACAGTCCCCACATTTGTCTGTAAAAGAGTTCAACTGTTGGAGATTCCATATGACTCTTCAGTTACCCTTCAGAGACCAAACAGTCATGTCCTTGAAAAACCAAGTGTATCTACTCTGCTCAAAAGACAGGGCATTGTCCCACTACACCCTCCATCTCTCTCCTTTGACCTCTCTTGTTTTTTCTCTCCTCTGCTGATCTACAGCACATGTCAGTCCCTCTCTGAAGGCACATACTGGGAGCCCAGAAGACAGTGGCCTGTCCTAGGGGCTTGCTCTGCACAGTACTCCTCCCACTTGGATGTCAAAACAGAAAGGGGTATGTCCTCCCAGATTCAAGGAGAGTGAGCGCAGGTGACTCCAACCTTCCCCACCAGGGCTCTTTCTAAAGAGCCAGTCTACACTCAGCTGGGATCAGGACAATGAGTGCAAGACTAACAAACAAATAATGAATGAACAGAGGATGACTTACCTTCTAAGAATCCCTCTGCCGTCCACATATTTGCCTATCACAGAGCCAGATCTCTGTTTCCAGCTTGCCTTGGAAGCAGCTGTGTTTGCCTTGGCTGTCTTATCTTTCTGTGGAAACACAAAAGGCCCTCGGATCCATGCCTGATAGTTTATCCCAGTGTTTGAGCAGAAAGGGCTCAATACTCCTACCTCATAGGTGGCTCTAAACAAAACTCTGAAGTAAGCAAGCAATGTTCTGATCTTGCTGCTAGCATTCACCCGCTCGTTCCTTTAGCTATCATCTCTCACCAGAATTCCTCCACTTCCTATATAATAAGCCAGTCGAATGAACCAACATGCAGTTTAGAGCCTGAGGTCCACGACAGTATCCTTCACAGGACTACGGATAATTTGCAAGAGAACAAGAAGAGATAAATGTGGAATGCATAGGAAAAATATTTGTGAACAGAAAAGGCCGTGCATCTTTAAATCACACTCTCCTGTGTGGCTCCAGGTTCTCTTCATTCCTAAAGCCCCAAAATAAGAAAGGACCAGCCCAGAGAGAGGATCAACTAACCCAGTGCTCTATCCACAGCTACTAAGCTAGTATAAGGTATTTCAGGCCATTTGTGGACATAGGCTGGGTGTAGAGAAATTACTGACACATCTGAAACAGAGAGCCTGGGTGGAGTGGAGGCTTACAACCCATTTTGCCAACACTCCCTAACAGATATCTTCCAGGAGATGAGGGGGGAGTCAGATCACAGGGAGAATCTATCATTAACCAGCTTTCCCCATGATTCCCAGTGATCCTTACCAAGAGAAGGAGGGGTGGCAGGGCTCCCAGAGCCCCTGAAGGTATGGCTATAATGATTCCAAATTAATCTTTAATTATTATCCAGCATGAACACGATTTTATCCCTCTTCCTTCTAGTCCCCATGAGAGTTCTTAATTTCCGTGCCTTTTTCAAAGCAAAATGAGTTTGGCAAGTGAGGGAAAGCCAGGTCAAGGGATTAGAGTGACATTTGGTTGGAAGTTTTAAAATAAATTCAGTATCATTTCTAAAACAATTATAACCATTATCATCATCAAACAAACATGTGTAGGCTGAAGCTTTGCTCTACTAGCACACACAGGTGGGCAGCAGAGATGTTTGCTGCCAGTCAATGACAGAAAAGAAAGGCTGTGGAACAAGTTTCCACAGGGACCTTATAAGCCAGGGTGCACCCAATTCAGGGCAAGCTAGCTGCCTCTCGTTGACCCCATTGAGGCCACTGCTCAACTAAGGGTCCAGTGAAAGCCCTCTTCATTTCAAAATTTTTTCTCAAAAATCCCTACAATGTGGAAAAAAGGATAGGGCTTCCCTTTCCCCATGTGATAGTTGGGGTCGTGGTCCAAGAAAGTGGACGACATGCCCAAGGATATATGTGAAATTCATGGTGTGATAATTCTGATAATTAAACACTCACATCAATCAGCCCTGCCCCATTTTTATTTCCTTTAGCGCATCCGACAGCTACTATCTAAAGGGGAGTGTGACAGGGGAGCATGGAATCCTAGATTTTATTTAACGCAGCCCAAAGTGAAGATCTTTAAATAAAAATAGAATTTTGTGCTATTTGGGAAAGTATGTTGAGTGTGGTGCTCAGGTATGGAGGTGCAGGGGTCCCCAAAGGGTAAAAACAATCTGATGTAAAATTGACTATGTAAATCATGAAATACGCATTTTGAATTAGTTCTATGACTGTGTAAATGCAAAATTTCCATCAAGAGATCAAAATTTTAATAAAGAAAAAAATTGAGCATTTCGATTTAAAAGTGATCATGACATTTCAACTGTGCTATCTCATGGACAGAACTACCATTTCTGCATTCAAGAAGTGTGTGACCCTCCCAAATATTTATTTGTCTCGCTATGCCAAGAAGAAAGTGTGTGATTTCATAGGAAATTAATGCCATTACCCAGGGGCCACCCTACATTTTTTATTATTTTCAAAAAAGCTTGTGCCATGATCTTGCTCACACAGAAGGAAGCACCCAGACCTCAAGCCTCAGGACATTCCTGGCTAACCACAGCTCAGGTTCTGGCTGCCACTGGACCACAGTCTTTGTCTACCCCCCAGGGGAAGTGGCACCAGCCACTCACCTGAAAATGTATGTCCCGTTCATCCCGAAGGTGCTTGTTCCTTTCCCTGTGGATGGAAAAGGGGAATCTATTCAAACGTGGAGTTTGCAGTCGACAGATCCAATAGCAGCCGGTTTGTCAGTCAGATCTGTGCCAAGGAAGAGTTGGTGTAGGAGGCCCAGGGAGCATGTGGAACTTCTTTCTTTAGGGGCTGTGGTTATGGCAGATTGTAGTTTACAAATCAGCTCAGGGGCAGGGGGATAGACAGAATGACCTCGTGACACCATGGACCTTCAGGATCATGCACTGATCTATGCTATCACGGGGGGAACCTCCCCCAGAGGGTGACCAGGAGTTCCAGCTGCGCCTGTGAACTTACTGTTGGGCCTGTGTGCGTACTCTCTCTCTCTCTGAACCATTCATTCATGCATGCATTTGATCAGCAAGTGTCTCCTGGGCACCCACTACATGCCAGCCACCATTCTAGCTAACAAAGTTACACCAGTGAACAAAAGAAAAAGTTCCTGCCCTTGGGGAATTTGTATTTTGGCTCAGACATAATTGCTATTGAGAAAAATAAAGCGGGAGAGTGAAATAAAGTGTGCCAGAGGGTGGACTGGTATTTCAGTAAGGTGGTCAGGAAAAGCCTCACTGAGAAGGCAGCATCTGAGCAGAGACTTAAAGGAGGAGAGAGGAGCTCTGCAGGAATCTGAGAGAAGAGCATCGCAAGCAGAGGAAAGAGCAAGGGCAAAGCCTGGGGTTGGAATATACCTGTTGTGCATGAGGAACAGAAAGGAAGGCAGTAGAGGGAGAGCAGTTAGGAGAGAAGGTCAGAGAAAAGATGGGGTGAGGAGTGAGGACTTGCCATTCATAGCCTGTGGACCACTGCAAGAACTTTGATTTTTACTCCAAATAACGGACGGAGCCATGGGGTGGGGTAGGTGGCAGAGGAGTGTCTTGATCTGACTCAAGTTTTCAAAGGAGCCCTATAGGTGCTGTGCCAAGAACAGATTGCTGAGGACAAGGGTGAGGCCCTGAGAATTGGCTAATATTTTCAGCAACATGTTGGTCATTGGTGCTGCTTCAGTGGAAACAGTGGTAGAAGAAGCCTGACTGGAGAGCTGGGAATGTGAAGAAAGGAAACAGAGACAGTGAATGTAAGTAAACAATCTTTGGAAAGTTCTGTTGAAAGTGATTTTAAAAATGGAGCATAGCTGGATGGAGAAGGGAGGACAAGAGATATTGGATAAGAAATATTATGATATATTTGTAGATCTCGCCAAAGGGAGGGCACAGCATTGATCTGACCTTCATCACTATAGCATGGCGATTTACTGGGCACCGACTGTGGGCAGGCACTCCACTAAGTGTACTGCATGCGGCCGGCATAGATCCGAGATGGGTTGGAATAACGACCTCAGTTTCCACAGTCTTGCAGAAAACACTAGGAACATGCTGAGGTTGTTTTGTACCAGTTATGTGCAGCTGATGAGCTGGCCGGCACACAGCCAGGGCCTTCAGAACAAGTTGAGAGGAATGAGGAAGGCATTTAATAAGTCCCGAGAAAGGCAAAAGGAGCTTCTCGTGCTGGAAGGACCTTCCCTCTGTGCAGGCAGTGACATTAGCAGCCTTACAACTGAGTGAGACTTAGGAAGCCATATCTTTATTGGGGAGTTTGCTGTGCTGTTTCTTGCTTTGTGTCAAAGCTTCGGTATTTAAAAAAAAAAAATGCTCGACTCTTTAAATGTGTTGGCTTTCATTCACACCACTGCCCTGTTGTGATTGCCACTCACATAGGTCATCTAATTCTCAAAAGAAGCCTGTGGGGTGGGTATGAGAAGATTAAGACTTTAATAGGTGAAGTCAGGTCTTCAAGGTCAAACAGGTAATGAGAGGCAGTGCTAGGTCTTGAACCAGATCCAGCTGCAAAGCATGCGTTCCTAAGTGCCCTGAAATTGCTTCTATTGGACCCATTTGCCTTAGGAGGGCAGTCCCCTCCTCACCCCGTCAAATCCGGGCCATTGTCCCGATTCCACTGCCACCACCCCCTCCACATCCCTACTATTCTCCCCACTCTACTCCACCCCACACCACTCCTCCTCCAACTTTCTCTCCTTGATTCCTGTGTCCCCACTGCTCTCTGTCACTACCTGGTGATTTCGCCGAGGAAAAATCTGCCATGGGGCCTTTCCCTCCACGCTGGCTTTTACCAGCTGGTGGAGTTTAAGCTTGGTGACACGCAGCAGCATAGAAAGACTCCAGGCATGTGATTCTGTACAAATGTTAGTTTCCATTAAGAAGACCCACAAGTATTTGTAGAGTGCTGCCTTGTCATTCTCCCCTGCTCATTCATGTTGAATCTGCCCTTCCCCTTTTTCTAAGTACAATAGAAAAAAGGGGAAAACAAACACTTGTCCTTGGACATCTTGTTCTCTTCCTTTCGTGAAAATCTTCCTCAGAATCAAGACTTTCTCTCAGATGGATGAGAACTTGGCCACCTCAGAACCGCTTTCATCTCCCTGGCCTTTGGAGGCCTGTTGAAATCATGTATTGAGGGCAGTAAGTCTGAAATGCATTCAGTTTGAAATACTTTTCAATTTGGAAGCATCACGATGTCAGACACAGTGACCTTACCTTGCTTTCAAATAAAAACAAAAGACAAAAATTTCATAATTACCTGATTCAGAATCACTTGCAATTTGCAAATCGGAACCCCAAATCCTTCTGTTCCATCACCATTCCCCAGGAGGTGTTTGGCAGGCAGCAGGTACAGACGCTAAGAAACCTCACAGGCAAACTAAAAATGCCACCTTTCTCCACACAGGTTTGGTGAGGTTTTGTTTTGTTTTGTTTTGTTTTCTTGTGTGTGTGTGTCGGGGGGGGCGGGCATATATCAGACCAGTGAGCTTTGAATTTACAGAGAGTTTTAGCAAGCTGAAGAAACTCCTTTCTTGGTGTTCTGTTTTTGACTCATTTGCAGGAGTACCTTGGAAATACTGCAGGTTTGGTTCCAGACCACCACAATAAAGCAAGTATACAATAAAGCACATGAACTTTTTGGTTTTCCAGTGCATATAAAAGTCATGTTTACTCTACACTGTGGTCTATTAAGTGTACCATTACATTATGTCTAAAAAAAAAAGAACAAATGAAAAAACCTTAATTAAAAATACTTTATTGCCAAAAAATGCTAATCATTTGAGCTTCCTGAAAAAATGGCACTGATAGACTTACTTGATGCAGGATTGCCACAAACCTTCAGTTTGTAAAAAAAAATGCGATATCTGCGAAGCACAGTAAAATGAAGTATGCCTGTACTCATTCAACAAACATTAACAGAATAGGGCAGAATAAAGAGAATCAGCCAGATGCGGATCTCAGTTCTGGCTCCCCCAGTGAGTAGCTGTGTCATTTTTGGCAAATTACCTCATTTCTCTAATATTAACTTCCTCATCAGTTAACTCCTGTATTAACAACTGCCCTACTTTCCTAAGTTTGTTGACGATGAAAGAAATACCATAGCTGGCACAGAGTAGATACTCAATAAACTCGGTTCCCCTCCTACTTGAGCAAGTACTGTGTAAGGTACTTTGACAGACACCAAGAAGAATGAGGCAGAGCCTACCCGCAGAGGTATAAACTGGAGAGGGAAGTGGGCATGTGTGTAGATGGACCAAACTTAATGGAGAGGGTGGTACTCAGCTGTCCAAATAATACATTGGGGACAAGGGGAATGAGGGCGCTCTCTCAACAGCTATGTTTTCCCAGCATGTAGGCAGGAAAGACCCTCAGACTGAGCCCCCAACCTGAGGTGTCTGGTATGCTCTCTCAGAAAATATCCACTGTTGACCCACCTCAGGAAATCCAGCTGCTTCAGGAGCCCCGACTTCTCCCGCTGCAGACTCTCTGTCACGCGGTACACTTCCCTGAGGAGGAAGCAAACACAGCAGTGATGAGAGACTCTTCTGAGGGGGTGAGCTACCAGGACATAAAGTATCGTGCTGAGGTTGGATGCCCAGGACTCCTCACACTGGAACCTGTAGAAAGTGGCCTGTGCTGGAGACAGAGGAGTTTAGGGGAATATGGGCTTCCTTGGGGAGCACCTGCCATGTGCAAGTGCTTACAGCCATGATCTCAGTTAATCATCACAGACACACTCTTTGGAAAGTAAAATCTCCATTTACAGACACAAAGAGGTTCGATGACTCTCCCTGCTCACACAGACAATCCAGGGTCCTAATCCCCTACTCCCAAAACTGCTCATTCCACAGTCACTTCACATGCCACCTGAAAATATGACTTGATGAGAACTGCACTGTTTTCCCAGGCTCCAAAACAGTCCTTCCCCGACCAGAGTTCAGGGAATAAGAATCAATATTCTTCTCCAGCCCAGTTTCTCAGGGTGAGAGCAGAACTGGTTTTCTTTTTTCCTCTGGATGCTAGTTTAGTTCGTTTTCGGGAGATCTCAAAAAATCATTTTCCTGCTTCACCTTTCCGTCAAAGTCTCCAATCTGTTCCCAGACACCTGGGATTTCCACTGTTGGTCATTCATTTCTTTGACTTAGGATTTCTTACCTCTAGCTATAAAGCAGAGATTTAATGTATCAATTATAATCAGTCATTTATATAGCAGTATGAATGCATCAATCATATCAGGAGTTTTGAGGAAGAGAGAGACACTGAGGGTTATATATGTGGTGGCTGGAAGGAAACTTAGCAAGGCAGGGCCTGTGTCGTTTGTTTACCTCTGTGTTCTCATTGCAGTGCCTGGCACGCTGGCAAAGTCGATAGGCAGCAGCAGGAAGAAAGAAAGGAGAGAGGGCAGAAAGGAAGGCTAGAGATGGAAGAAGAAAAGCAGGGATGGAAGGAGAAAGAGAGGACGGGAGGAAGGAAGGCAGGAAGACAAGAAGGCAGGAAGGAAGAAAGGAAGCAAGGATGGAAGGAAGGGAGGAGGGAGCAAGTTGGGAGGTATCGGCGCCAGTCAGGAAAGAAAGGGGAAAAAAGCAAAATTCAGTGACGTTGGAAAATAAACCTTGCTTAACTTCGCAATTTTGCCTCCATCCTTCCGTCCGTGCTCTGGTCTATGGTTCATGCAAAGGGTCCAAAGTTCCACATTACCAAACCGCTTTTAGTGTAGGGCGCATCTTACAGCTTGATAAATTCGTTCCTCTCCGTAGGCTCTCAGGGCACCTGGATTATGTACACACTGGGCTGGCCCACATAGATGTCATTACTGAGCTGGTGAAAACAGTACCAGCTTGCTGGGTCCATAGGACTCGCGCCAAGCTTGCAGTAACCTGACTGCTAAAGACGTATCTGTGGTGTTTTTTCCTTTATAGAATAATTATAAAGTCAATTTACGACAATAACAGACCGAATCGAATTCTAAGTTCACCTCAGACAATCCTAATGAAGCAATAAAACTTCTCTGGCTCCTGCAGAGCTGCAAATTCTTAACATTTTATTACTAATTATATTTAATTTCAACTTGAAGGAAAACAATGCATTTTCCATTATCCAAACTAGATCCCTAAACCCCTGTCTAGGATTCTGCTCTGATTAGCAAAATTAGAGCTGCTTATTGGCTGCCTCCGTGTCCTGGGAGCCAAGTGTCTTGCCTGGCTTTGTGCCCTAACCTCATTCCTGGTAGTGCTTCTCTCTGGGGGCAGCGGGAAGCAAAGAGCTTCGCCCTTGCTGAGGAAAATCACTCACTGGAGGTCTGAGGTCTGCGTTCTCACAGGGTGACTGAGGAGCTAAATCCTAAGACGTTCCAGGTCTTCTTTGCCCCTGTTTTCACAGCATCAGCTGACCTCTGGAGCTATACAAACACACACTTATACATACATATATATGTTATATATTGATGAAAATATATGTCTGTCCACTTGTCTAGTAAGCATACATCCAATTGCATGGAGATAGAGAGACAGATAGACAGACAGTTGACCCTTGAACAATGCGGGGGTCAGGGGTGCCAAGGCCCCATGCAATCAAAAATCCTTATCTCATGTTGGCCCTCCACTTACACAGATTCCCACTAACCAGGGATAGAAAATACAGTTGACTCGTGAGTGTGGGTTTGAACCTCTTGGATCCATTTATACATGCTAAGCGGCCCTGCGCAATCCAACTGCATATGTATACACGTAGACGCACACCCACACACACTCACACACACACACACACACATATACATATTCAGTTTTATGTGTTAACAAAGAGAAAAGCACTTCTGAAAAAAAAACAATGACATTTGGCTAGTTAACTAAATGACCTTTAAAGTCCTTCTAATCTAGACATTCTAAAAGTTTATATCTGGGTAAAACGTGAACTGAAAAGGAAAGAACTCGCCATTTTTCATAGGAGTGGTTGGTGAGAGGTTTATGATTGCCTTTAGGGAACTGCTCTTGGCTTTGTGTTTGGAAGATGGATGAAACATAGAGCTCATTCCAAAATATGTTGTCAAGTGAAAAATGCAGGGAATTGCGGAAGTGTGCTACCATCTCCTAAATGAAAATTGTGTGTGTGTGTGTGTGTGCGTGCATGCATGCATGTCAGTGCATATGTGTGTGCACATGCACAAATGCACTTGCATATGCATAGAATACTCTGGAAGGATCCACAAGAAACCATGACTGGTGGTCTCTATGTGACTGGAGGCCAGGAGTGATAGGGAGGTGGGGGCGCCAAACCTCTTTTCAAGTGTATATCCTTTTGAATTTTGTATCTTGTCATAAACTATCTACCCAAAATAAAAGTTAATTAAAATAAGCAGAGGTGCTGCTCTTCAGCTGACCTTCGTCTTTATATTATCTCCCCTCTTCAACTGTTCTCTCTTTATCTTATTTTAAAATCTAGTTCTCCTTCCTTGAGCATCTTCAGAGAACAGAGAACTTAATTTTGCCCATTCCAAATTCTAGTTGATAAATGACTAAGCCTGTTTTTTTTTTGTGTGAACCTCAGCCTTTCCTCTCCCAGCCACTCTGGAGCAGCATCAGGCAGCCAGACATTGTCAGGAGAACTGGGCTTTGTCCCTGTTTTCTGGTACTAACTGGCTGTGTTGCTTTGGTCGGTCACTATACCTCTCTAAGCCTCAATTTCTTCATTTATAAAATGAAGAGGTGGATTAGAACATTAAGAGCCTATTGGTACTGTCTGTCTGGAATTCTGCTCTAAAGAGGACACACTGAGGCTCTCTCGTTGCCTTCTCTCCCAACATGCCCCCGCCCCGCCCGGAATAGGACATGCTCTCCTGGGATCTGGCACACTTTCTGGCTGTACAGCACATGGGAAGCTTCTCCAAAACAAGTAGTAAAGGTTCTGGAATCATTTATCTCTTCCTCCCAACCCTCCTTCCCTATTTTAAATTACCAACTTCCAGAGATATGTCCCTGGCTCGGTTAATTAAGAGAAGACTTCAGAAAGATTTTAATCCTCACGCTGTGATTTGATGCTCCACACTAGGTGCTCATTTCCATTTGTGTTCTAATGCTTGTGCCTTCAGATGTTTGTTGCTTTTAGAACTTGCTTGAATTTTAAGAGCCTGAATTTTTAATTCTGTTTGTAAAGTTAAATGTCTGTGCCTTGTTGACCTGCTCTCAATGAGAAGGAACTGAATTTGCTCATTTACAATGAAATACACTGTCCTTTCATTGGTCATCCAAGAATTGGAATGGAGGTATTTTTTTATGTTTTAAGTCAGCTACTTGGGAATATATATATTTTTAACTGGAGATGTCTTACTAGGGCAAAACTTTCTTCCTCTCACTCCAGGCAATCGGTCCCATGTGACACAGGACACCACACATGAACCAGACAGCAGGACAATTTGATTTAGGCTGATGGACCAACATTTTGCCAACAGTCAGACAGAGGCTTTTGAACAAGGAGAGTTAACATATATATATGACACCAAGCATTGGTAAGTAATGCTGCCTTTTCTCTGAAATCAGACTTTCCATCCTACCTGGCACAGAACCAGGCACACAATTACATATTGCAAAATGAATAGACAAATAAAAGAATGAATGTATGAACAAATGAATAAGTGAATGATGGCCAGTCCTATCCTGTGCGAATATTTTCTGGCTGGCTCGGTGTTCACTGGGAGGAGTCAGCAAGATGTGTCTAACACTGAGCATCTTGGGACAGTACCTAAAAACCCCTAAACCTCAGTTTCCTCATCTCTAAATCAGGGTTGATCATAAGAGTACCTGCCACATCGGGATGCCGTAAAGATCATAAGAAATAATGTCAAATTATTGATATAAATGAGAAATGTTGAATGCCCAGCACAGTACCTGGCACAGAGTAGTTATCAATAAATATTTGCTGAATAATAAGTACATGAATATATAGATAAATGGATGAAAAAATAAACAGGTGAGATTCCTCTCCCGGGGTCTTAAAACTTAACACACCCAAGACAAAATAAATGCTGATATTCCTCAGCAACTTCTCTGGTTTGACATACAGACCCATGCCTTGATTCTTCTCAGGTGTGCCTCTGCCTTGCAGGCTGAACCATATGGCTGGACACCAAAAGCAGTTTACTAGGAAACCAGGCCCTGAGAGATGTGGGTTCTCCCCACTGGCCCACACAGAGGAACACTGGTGGAAAGATAATGGGCAGGGCTCAAGTGAAGATTCCAGGGCACTGTCACATGCCTCATCCAATTATATGTCAACCTCAGAAGTCTTCAGGCTTCACTCTTGTCCACTTTGGTCTCATATGACAATCTCATATGGTCTGTCTGCTCACTCAGCATTTTCTCACAGACTGCATTATATTTGTTGGTTGGTAATATATCTTTTTCATCACATACGAAATTTTTCAGGAACAGGGCTATCTATTTCTTGTCATCCTAGGTAATGCTCAGCACGGCACTGGTCTGCTTAGTAGTATCAGAATCCTAGACAAGATCTCAGGGAGCAAGAAGTCCCAATCCTCATTTTATAGGCAAGGGGACAAGGTCTCAGAGGGGAAGACAGCATGCTTACCACAGGGCAGGGAGCTGGAGAGCAGCAATAGGGGTACATGAAAGCCAGACTCACATCTCCTTCTCCTGGTGGAGTTTGCGGGCTTCTTGCTGGAGGCTGTCTAGCTGCTGCTGAGCATCCTGCAGCTCCCGGGAGGTCCGTTCCAGCTCCTGGGCCAGCTCCTGGTTGGTGAGCTTCAGCTTGGTATTCTCAGCCTTGGTTTCATGCTTGTCATTATGCAGGGCTGCGCACTGGCCTTCCAGCTGGCAAGGAATGGGGGGCAGAGGAGAATAGTGAGCAAGCACCATCGTCAAGACGGCCTGCCCTGGCCTCACCTAGCTTCTTCACTTGGTGGGCAGGGACCATTGTTGCTGATACCCCTCACTGCCTTCAAACTTCAGTAAGCTTTGTCTTGCTCCTTCATTCACAAGTATACACTTCTGGAGGCAGAAGGAGCTTCCAGAGCATATCTTATCTTTTCCATCTCCACAGAGCTGCTAGGAAAGAAAATTTCACATCCCTCTGTATCTCTCATCCCAATGATGATGATGATGGTCATCTCATCAATGGTCTCAATAACGGTCATCTCATCAATGGCCGTGAGATCTACCCTAAATCCCTCTTATTGGCCTTTAAGCTAATTTTTTTTCCCTTGGCCATCAATGGAGATGGAGAACAGCTAAGGGGCATCTTCATAAACCGTCCTTCTCAATTTGAATACTGAGAGTAAATCTATCTATTACCTTCTATTTTCTCAGCTAAGTAAGTTCAATTCCTTTAATCTAGAGAAGATTTCTATGGTAGTCAAAAACCCTGGGAATTCATAGGAATTAGTTAAAACAGGTCAAACCAAACATATACTTTTTCTCGTGTCTCTAATGCAATTAAAAACAAGCATTTGTATAACTTTTCTTGGCTGATGATTATGCTTTGCAGAGCTTCCAACTCTCTCACCAGAGGAAAAATCAAACCAAGGCAAATATATCATAATAAATTTAGTTTAATGAATGTGACCAGTAAGAGGAGGAGGAAGCAACAATGAGGAATTCTGTGTGATTCTCAAGAGGCTCCTGTGTAATCAGGCAAGCATGTAGTAATTAAATCGAGTGGCAATCATTCATGTGAGGGATAAATATAATTGGCAAGGACTTAATGCATAATAGTGAGGAGGAGAAAGAGTAGGAGAAGCCAGGTACGACTGTGGAAGGGGGATGGGAAAGCAGCTGGCAGTTCTTGGCGTTGAAATCGTCTTGCTGCAGAAGAAAGAGATCAAAATCCATAGATTGGGTAGCAGCAGTTGTGGAGCAGTCTCCAGCATAAGCATGGGGTGTCTTCGAGTATATGTTAATGTGTTACTAAAAATAGCTCTCTCTATTCAAATAGAAGCAATCTATCTGGGTCTGTCCAGGGTTGGACTCCTTCCAGCACAAGACAAAACATAACAGAACGAGTTGCGACTTAGCCTCTCTCCCCGAAGAGCCCTTGCTTTGGAGAGGAGGCTGAGCATGAGGTTTGCCTAGGTAATCCATCTTCCTGCAGTCATCAGCCAGGGATTCTTAGCCATAGTGGATGGACACTGCCTTGCATGGTGTACACCCCGACTACCTGCTGGGGGCTCAGGTGCCTCAAAGGAATGTCCCGAGGGATGATGAAATAGTCACAAAGGAGGCTGCTGAACTTCGTCCAAGGGAAGACAGGGATGGAAAAATTGACCTTTGAAGAGCCTCTTCCAGCCGGAGTCATCTATAGCCATGCTGGCAGTAAGACATCACTGTCTGCAGCCTCCCCCAAAGTACCACTGACTGTGTCCCCTCTTCTCTGATATGGGATGCAGGAAATAAATTAACATTTTGCCATTCAGGTGGCTCCTGGGCATAATTATATGACAATGTCTGCAGATACTTCAAGGGAGAATTCTTAGCAATTTTTCTAGTTAAACACCTAGCACTGGAGAAGTAAAGGCTTTATCTTGGGATCATCTGTGATTTCAAATGCTATCTTTGTAAAGCTAAATGGTTCTTCTCAGATAAAAAAAAAAAAAAGTCCTTAAGTGAAAGGCAGGGAATGTGGGCAAGAGCCAGAAAAGAGAATGAAGTGAGGGCCAGGCATCTGAGGACACTGACAAAAGCATACCCGCTTCTGCTTCTGGATGAGCTGCTCCAACTCCTGCTCCTTAGCTAATAGCTTCTGTTCCAGCTCCTGACTGCGGGCCTGAAACCTCTCCGTGTCCTGCCAACCCAGAAAGAGGGATGTGTGAGGCCTAAGTGCACCTGGGATGGAGATTTTGTTTTCACCTTGAACCTGTTCAATAGCAGAGCCCACCTATTCTTTTGGACTTTGGGGCCCTTCCCACAATATCCCAGGGCCTCAGTGATCTGCCTGCTCAGTTGGTGAGGCTAACGAGACAAAGAGAATATAAGTGCTCAGTACAGCATGACCGGTGACCACGTACCGCTCCCCGCCCAAAAGAGGCAGTGTCAGATAGTGGGGGGATACCGAACAGGGAGAACAGAACAGGGGCCTGAGCTCACATCTCAGGCTCAGCCTTTCATCTGTAAATTGAGGGGTGGGGTGGGTTCTCCCTCCAATTTGGATATTCTGTTCCATATTGGGCACTGTAATTTGATCCCTTAAATGGCCCTTGCTCTGGAAACACATGGCATCACTTCTTGCAGGTCTAGGTCCTCACTGTTTCCCGACCTTGACTGAGGTTCCCCAGGCCTTCTAGTCTCTCTGCTCCTATGCTCAGTAGCGCCTCCCTCTGCCCAGAACTGGGCTACCCCATTCAGGGCGGCAGGGGCCCTGATGATGCAGATGCGAAGGCACATGGTCGTGGGATAGAGAGGAAAGCGTGTGGGTTGTTGCAATGCCTGACACTCTCCACATAGCCTGGTCTGGTGTAGAGCCCTGAGCTGGGCATCAGTGACTTGGGTTCCAGCCTTGGCCTGGCCCACCTAATTTGCTTCATTGTTCTGGATCATACTGTCCTTGTGCACAGAATAGAAACAAAAACACCTGTAGCTCTCCACTTGCCTGAAGGCAGAACAGAGATGCACACCATGCAGGCAGAGAAGAAACCATTATAACCTCAATGTAACTCATGACAGGAACCCCTGGGTTCCCTGTGACATGGAACAACTCCTTTCCAAAGAAGACAGCCCAGGGAGGCTGCACTAGAGGGGCAGCTCTGTCCTGGCTAACAGGCTGGGCATGACAGTGCAGCAGCAGAGTAGGGAAACATGACTGTTCTTGGGGCAGAGGCCCTGGAACACCTCTGTTTAAAGGCTCAGGGTATTTTCTGGGCTCAGCATCTGTGATGCGATCTCGTTCCTCTGCCCATTTTCAGGGAGGCAACTGCAGCTCCAAGCCTGTGATTGTCCTCATGTCAACCACATGCAATGGCAGAAACAAATTTGATGAGGCAGTTCCTCCCCGCAACTTTTGGTTACAGGAAACTTGCTTCATTTGTCTTGTTTGCCACTCAGAGAGGAGGCACCCAGTGGACAGTGCCAGAGAGGTGAGCAGCTTCAGAATCTCCATGCAGAGTCTGCATCCCCGTGATGGGCCTGTGGCTTGTCTTCCCTGGCACAGGGCTTTGAAGGATCTATTATCCTGGAACCGAAGTGTGCAAGTGACTAATATTTCCCTCAAGGTCAAACTAACTGCTGAATGTAAAGCCAGAATCCAAACTCTGTCCAGAAGGTCCAGCCTTTTCTGTGCTGTCATAAACCACCATCACTGTCCCTACTCTGTGACCAGGCAGAAGCCTGTGTATCCAAAGGCTTAGTAGCATGGCCGAGCACGTTGTAACAGTTTCCATGTTTATGCAAAAGCATAAATCTAAGCATTGAACCTGAAAAGTGTTTGGCATTGAGAAGGGAGGAGCAGGGAGCAGAGTGGGTAGGTGAAGGGGTACAGCTATATAATCAGGTCACCTTATGTGGTGCTAATTTGTCCTTGAATTTTTCCTTTGACCTCTTCCCACTCTCAATGCCTATGCCTTGGCCTACCTTTTGCTTCTGGAAGCACACCCCTTTCTTTAGCCAGGACCTTTGACCTGTAGTCATGGCCCAGGCAGATGACGCAAATGTCCCAGAGCTCAGCCCCTCTGTGCAGGGTAAAGGATGTGGCTCTCTCTTTGCAGGGAAAAGCCTGCTGTTGTCAGAAGACTGTTTTAGAGTCTGCTAGGTGATGAGGGTGTGAGTTCTGTCTGTTATTATACTTCATTATGCTAAAGTTTGGGGGGCAGCCAGAGTATTGTAAAGCTCTGAAAAGAAAGACGGGGAGACAGTATAAAAATACTGACAAGTCTCCAGAGGGCTCTAGCTGAAGAACATGGCCAGCTTTTCTGGAAAGCATCCAGACTCCCTCTCAGTTTGAATGGCATCTGTGATAATAAATGGAGCCATGATGTGGACCATCCAAGCAGCATACAATTAAAAATTGGTTCAAACCAACCTGCATTAAAGAGGGAAGCGGTTGTGACGACAGCCCAGGCTCGGTGCTGAGTGGCGGGGGATGATGTGGTCTTTATGTTGCGTTCCCGAAAATTCACATGTTGAAACCTAACCCCCCAAGGTGATAGAATTAGGAGGTAGGGCCTTTGGGAGGTGGTTAGTGCCTTTATAAAATAAAAGAGACCCCAGAGAGCTTGCTTTCCCCTTCCGCCACGTGAGGATGCAAAGAGAAGTTGGCAGTCTGCAACCCGGAATAGGGCCCTCATGAGAATGGTACCCTGACTTCAGACTTCTAGCCTGCAGAATGGTAAGAAATAAAGACTTGTTGTTTGTAAGACACCCAGTTTATGGTATTTTTGTAATAGCAGCCCAAACTGACTAAGACAGAAGGCTGCTGCTCAAGATCAAAGACTTCTCTGCTGGGAACGCACCAAGTAGATTATCCAAAAATGGTTAATAGAGAGTTTTCTGTAGCTTTGTTTTATGAATATATGCCCAAAGGACCCTATTTAGCTTAGCTTGGGAAAACAGATTTCATCAGTTCTGAACATCCAAGACAAATAGCAGGGCTTGGTAGGAGGCTAGGTGCCAGACTATGGACAGGAGATATGCATTTAAAATTTTCACCCTCCTGAAAGGGTGGGATTTGATTTGTCTTGGGTATTAAATTTTCTAGGTGTCTAAGGGGAAAAGAAGGGATGTACAGGCTCTAGTGAAGGTCCTCTTAAGGGAGCTCCTGGGCATTGAATGGAATGGGCTGGTGCATTTGGGTGGGCCTGCCATACAGGTCTAGGGACCAGACAATGTCAGACCCGGTCTTCAGGATGCTTTAACTGGGAAAGCATGCACTACATCCTTTCGTTCATCTATTCATTTACTTGTTCATTCGACAAACAATTGTTGAGCACTTACTATGTTCCGGGCATGGTCAAGGTGTTGAGGATACATTAGTAAGTAAAAGATAAAGACCCCTGCTCTTGTGAAGCTTACATGTTAGTAGGAGGAGGCAGACCACAATCAATAAAAATAAATAAGTATATTATATGCCATGTTTGAAGGTGACGAGCACCTTAAAATAAATAAAGCAGAGACAGAAGGGATCAATAGTGTCAGGAGTAAGGCATTACAATCTTAAATTGGGGGAGGTGGTCAGAGTAGGTGAGATTTCAACACGGCCTGCAGAGCCAAGCCCTGGTAGGGGACTCTTACTTTCAGGAGAAACTGCTCCTTCTCACTTTTGATTTGCTGTTCCATCTCCTCATAGAGATGCTGGATTTCTTCATCATAAGCAGCAATTTTCCTGCAGAGATGGTAAAAGCAGAATCTGATGAGGTCTATGCTGAAATTTCTTGATCCCACAGAAGAAAGTCCTGGAGCTTGGGCACCAGAAACCCACCTGGAGCTGTGGGTGGTAAGTCAGTTCAGCCCAAGCTGCAGGATCAGCTCCTCAATTTAGCTGAGCACAGAGGCCAGCAGGACCCTCTCCTCCTATCTCCTGTCATCACTTGCAGATGACCCACATGCTCCTTGGGGAAGCCTCGCTGGCGCCATCTTCCTTTACTCTGCTTTTTCTCAACACCAAGCCCCCTGGTCTCTGCTACACTGACGCTCCCTCCTGCCGGTTGACCCCTATGCTTGTAGACAGCATAAAGTTGCATGGGCTTTTTTCTTGTTTGGTTTCTTGGTTTATCTTGTTCCCACTTTGGATGCATTCTCTCTACCTAGCTACATCAGCATTGTCTGGACTGTACTAGTGGGCTTTCCTAAAATTGTGTGATTAAGTTTATGCGATGCACATTTCTCATAAGATCTCAAAAGATTATACGATAATAACAACCACAACAATCATACCTCTTGCAAAGAAAGGGGCCACACCTGTCTAAGTGCTCATGCCCTCTAGGCATGGGATCACAGGCAGACAGTATGAAAAGGGCAATGCTAATTAAAGGCTGGCATGATAATGAGATGTCCTAATCTCAACCCCCCCCCCCCCCCCCCCGCCACACACACACACACACACACACGCACACGCGCGCACACACACACACCCTGGCTTCAGTATCCTCTCCCTACTCAGAAGAGCCCCACAAGAAAGAAGGAAGTTCCTGGGTACTGGGCTTCTACACCAAGAAGAAGAAAGAAGTGTCTGTGGGGACAAGGTTTGCAGGTCATCCCAGGATTTGATTGTTCCTCTTCTCCCAGTAATAGATCTCTCTTCAAATGCCCCCCCCCACCCCAAATCAGACAGAAAGGATCAGGTATCAGCATTTGAACTGAAACTAGAAGTCATCACACCAAAGCATTAACCTTCCCAGGGACTGTGTTTTTACACCTTTTCTCCGTCTGCTGTGAAAGGCCCTCTCTCTGCCCCTCACTCTCTGTTTCCTTTCTCTCCAGGCTCCAGTAAACAGGTTGATGTCATGGCTTTCAAAGTCCTCCACATGATGGCAAGCCCCCTCTGCCCTTGATTCAAGGAGACTTTAATAACTGAGGAAGTAGACCTGGTTTTTCTGTTCTAAGAGGTACTGGGGAGATTTCTAAAGACAACATTGAGGATGGGAATGTATTTATTTCCCTGAGCCTTCCATCATTTTAACCCCTACCTCCCTATGTCCCTATGTCTGCTGGATTCTAATCCAGTGACAGCTGCCCCTGCCGCCCAAGGCTGCACCACAGCCCACTTGCTGCCCCTCCCTCGCTAGCTACCTGTGGGGGGAACACTCGGATCACATGCACAGACTGAGCAAAGACTAAGGAGCGATTTTGACTGGCATCCTTCCAGTTCTACAGAAACCATAACAGACCCAGACAAAGGAACTGATGTGAGTGTCCATGGTCACGGTCACTCATATCGATCAGAGCACCAGCCTCTGAGTTCCCTTTTTTGGCTGTATCTCAAGACCAGAAACCCGACTTTGAGTGAATGGCCCCAGGACGTGCTCGGCAAAAGGTGACAGTTCTTCAAGACCTTCCACAAGTTCGAGCCCTGTGTCTACCATTGTGTTCGGTATCCTAGGTGTAACAAATGTCTTTTGGGCTAAGAACAAGAAATCTGTTCTTGGTAGATGACAGATGTTTTGCATTGGTACTTTTGTTCATAGCTAACCAATAACAATTATAAGCAAATCTTGGAAAGAAATAAGGAGCAAAGGCAACTGCTGTTAAATAGGGACACCTCAGGGGTAGAAATGAATAGTTTGAAAAAGCTTTCAGAAAGAATGGTCTTCTCTTGGACCCTGGAATTATCTTTCTGTGCTCAAAAAAATTCAGATGCTAGATGACAAATGGTGTCAAGAAAACCTTTAGACAGTGATTCCAACTATATAAATACTGAAGAATTAATAAAGTGAGATGAAAGCAACTTAAAAATTGATTTGGTTCTGTTAAAACAATATTAATTACAGCCATTCATATAAGCTGTTTACTATTTATGTCTAAAAACTATACAGGGCATTAATTCTATACCATCATTAAATGTTACATTAACTTTGCTCTAATTTTTATGTGATTAAATTAATAAACTATGTTTTTCACGCTCACATGTCAGTTTGCTAATCATGAAGTAATTTTGCAAACTGCTAAAAAGCAAACTGAGGGAAGGCAGATATAGCCTTTGAAAGGTGTGTGCTCCTAGCCCTCCCTCACAAAGACTGGGTCCACTGCAAATAAGCCCTAAAAGTCCGGGAGGGCATCAGTGACCCTGGGCCCAACCAGACTCGTACATAGAACCGAGCCTTTGGAAATGCATTGGAATAAAGCTGGACTTGTGGGAGCTTGCTCAGGCCTGAATGACTTTAGAGGATGAGCCACGGCTCCTGACCAGCCTGGATTAGACATGCAAGCCCCAGGAATGGGGAATGTTAAGGTGCTGTTCACACCATTCACATCACTAAGGCTGCTCAGGAGTCAGAGCCCTGAGTTCTGATCCCTGAACCAGTTCATTTCCTCCGTGTGATCTTGGGCAAGCGCTCTGATCTTAGATCCCAGGGTAGTACCTAGCCTGTGTTTCTCCCAGCACTATCATGATTAATGACAGATAAGAGAGAGGGTGTGGAAAGCACTTAGAACTATATAGCCCTAAGTAAATGTAGAGGTTATTTATTACGGTAATTATTATGACAGGCTGCAGGGGGCAAGGACAAAGTACTCTCCAAGGGGAGGGGGGTCTTAGTTTCAAGGATAAAAGAACTGCTGGGTTTGGAAAGGGTCAGAGGCAATCAGAAAGATGAATAGAAAGCTTAGTTAATAAAAACTGCTGTCAGGCCAATCCGTTAGAGACAAGGTTGTGAGAGCAGGAGCTGTAGGGCCAAAAGCCTGCATCTGCAGGGAGCTCTGCAGTGGCTGTGAGAACAATAATGGCAAGAGACACTCTGAAAATGTGTGCGCACAGGGTATATGGTGTTCCAGCCAGGCACGCCATATTCTGCCATCAAAGGAAAGAGGCAACCAATTATGTTTGCGTGTTATGTACATTTTTTGTTGCCATAATTGCTGAAACTACTCTTATTGCCTGATGTGCAGAAATATAGACTTTGGCGTCTTCTCCATGAGGACTTCTCCATCTATTCCAACTGGTCCGCTTCTCGGAACACGTAGGATATCATATATCTTTATCTGACATTTAATTTTAAAGTCCTGAACAACTGTTTCATTTGGGTTTATGCTGTCTCAATTAGTTTATAAACACTCAGATATTTATATCACACACAGGTCCAGTGTTCAAAATGTTAATGCTGAAAATCTGTAAGAAATCAACTTAAGACTTTGGATACCAAACTCAGAAGCCCATGGACCATATTGAGAGAACATCAGATTCCAGGAGAATTGATGAATTTCAGGGTTGGAAGGTTTATCTGATCCAACCACCTATTTTCCCAGTGGTAAAACCCTTGCCATTATATCCCCACCAAATATTTACCCAAACGAGGTTAGAATACCTCCAGTGATAGGAAACTTGCTGGATTTCTAAACAACTCTTTCATCTTTGGAATATTCTGGCTCATAGAAATATGGCTTTCTATGCCCTTATCCCTGTTTTCATCAATTAAAAAAAGCATTAAGACTTCAAGGAGTAGTAGCCCTGGGTTCAGGCCATGCTTCTCAACTTCCTCTAACCCTGTCTTACATGGAGTTTTTTAAAGTCCCTTCACCGTTCCCTTCCTCTCTGAATGGGCTCGCATTTAGCTTTCTCAAGCCATGGAGCCCCAAACTATTTTCCCTTTGCATTCATGATCAGTCTGATCAGTGCAGATTAGAGCTGGACTATTGCCTTTCTCATTCTAGATGCTGCTTATTTATTCATGCAGCCTAAGATCACATAATTTTTCTTGGCAGACACATCATAGTTGATGGATGGTGAATCCATTTGTCAACTAAAACCTCTATACTTTATGGCTGTGTGATTGTATTTGTTTTAAAGATGGTGCTACTGAATCATATCTCTCCTATTTTGTCCTTCTGCCATTAGGTTTTTGGATTTTGGCAAGATTGTAAATGTAATTCTGTTATATTTCATGTTTATTAGATTTGGTCCATCTTTCTAGTCTATCACCAACTTAATGAATCCCAACTGGTTGTTCAGTGTACTCGGTGACCTTACAAGTTTTGCTGATAGTTTAAATTTTCAATCATAATGCAAGCTAAATAATCGATAATGTTGGTTTCGATTTCTTCATCTATCTGAGAGTTATTTAGAAGAGTGTACCAATAAACAATATACAAACTATTGGTTTCCAGTGTTATTATTTTATAATAAGAGAATACTTACTTTTTGGAACTTATTAACCTTTCCTTTATAGCCAAAAATATTATCAATTATATATAAGTTCTATAAGAATATGTATTTTATTTTAGGGCACAGAATTCTACATTCAGCTCTTAAGGCTGCTGCTTCATAGTTTTGAATATTGTATATATTTAATGTATTTTTTTGCCTGACTAATGTGTCAAATTTTAGACAGGGCTGTTTAAGTCTTCTAAAATTCTTCTAAGGTCTTATTTTTATCAATTTTTCTTTGTTTTTCTAAAAGTTTCTACCTTATATATTTTGCTACTATGTTGTTTAGTGCATAAAGGTTTATATATGTTGTATTTTCTTTATGGATAGAAATTTCTGCTACAAAATATTCCACTGTATCTCCCTTTATTAGTGCCATTGGTAAAAATGTTGAACAAGATAAGGACGACAATCTGTAATAGAGCTCTCTGAGCTATTAATTAATAACATGTGAGCATAAATATTAAGCCCGTCTTCTATGAGTTATTCTCAAATACTCTCCCTCCTCCTTTCAGGGTGGTGTT